CCCATAAAAACACCCCTTCCTTTAGTCCCTGAGGGTGGGGGACTCACTGGCCCTGGGACCCTTATTTTCAGTTGTTTCAGTTCTCCTTTGTTGCGGTGGGAGAGTGAGTTTTGCTGTGTGGGCACGAGGCACACCATAATGGGTGCAAAGCTGTCCACACAGCAGCGGGAGATGTTTTTCCAAGTTGTGGGTACCCTGGAGGGAGGGAAAAGAAAGTTTTCACAGGGTTCATTAAAGAAGTTCATAAAATGGCTTGCTTCCCAATTCCCTGGGGTGTCACCCCAGCAAGTGGAGTTGATCCAATTTTGGGAACGAGTAGGACAAAGGCTCATGGCGTTGAGCAATCAGGATGACACCTCCATGGATCGTTTTTTCAGTTTATACATTCAAATTCGTACAGCTGTAAAAGAAAAGGCAGGGGGCGCGTGCGCGGCCCCGCCCCATCAGGAGAGGGCGGGGAAGGGAGGTAAGCCATCCCGGGTTCCCCCAGTTGTTCCCCCGTCTCCTAACCCTCGTTCCAGTCCCTCTTCCCCTGCATCGGGGGATCCGAGACGGGCAGCTGGGCAACGATCATAGGCGAGCCCAGACAGGGAGACCAGCTGCTGCTCACCTGGCCCCTCTCGGTCCTCCCGATACCCTAGCTCGGGCAGCAAGGCGCCAGCCGTCAGGGAGCCTTTCCCTAATCCCTCTTCCTGCAGTTCCGTCTCTCCCAGTTGCACCCAGAGTTCTACCCTGAAACCTGTTTTAAAGAGTTGTAAAGTTTGTAAATGTACCCCGAAACCCTCCCCCGCTCCTACCTCAGGCTCTACCCCAAAAACCCCAAAGTCAGTCAGGTCCCAGTCATCTCCCCCAGAGCCACAAAATGGCGTCCCGGACTCCGGCGCACAAGATGATGCCGGCCACATGGCATGGCCTGTCCCTTGTGCTCTGCCTCCTTTGTCTTCCCAGAATCCCTTCTTCACTGATCCGTTCCCTCCTCCTCCTACTGTGGCTCCACCCCCTACCCCGTGTCCCAACCCCTTTCTGTTCCCGCCTCCTTCCCCAAGTCCTGCCCCTGTCTCCTCCCACGGGAGGGGCGTTCCTCCTCCCCAGGCTCCTCCTCCTCCTCCTACTAAAACTCCTCCTCTTACTCCACCCCCAGAGAGGCGGCCCCCGAGCTCAACAGGTCCCGCCCATCACCATGAATGTTGCCAGTGTTCTGGCTCCTCCTCGGTAAGCAGTCCCGCCCCTCCACTTCCAACTTCCGATTCCCAAGCCCCTGCTTCCAGTTCCCACGCTCTGGGAACCGGAAGTGACAGGCCAGGGGATTGGAACCCTGAACCAGAGACTACACTCATTACCACTCTGGTTTTTTATTCTCGGCAGAGGGGTATTCCTAATTGGCAGCCATTTGAATACTCCCATAAAAAGGAGCTCTGTAAGGCACAGAAGGAGTTCGGGAGAAAGAGCGAATATTTTAAAGGCTTATTGGAAGCTACTTTCTCCTCCAATATCTTGGTCACTAGCGACTTGAAAGGATTGTTTAAATGTCTCCTCCTATCAATTGAATACAGATTGTGGGAGGACACATGGAAAAGGATGCTAGGGGAACTCCTGCCTGAGCTCTTGCAGACCTCCGAGTGCGCCGTTGATGCAGACTAAAAGCCGATCACGATGGATCATTTGCGCAGCGAAGGGCAGTGGTCCCAGGTGGAAGCACAGGCAGAAAAAATCCCAAAGCCTGTGATTTTAAAAATTCAAGCTGCTGCTGAGAAGGCATTCATGGTGATGCCAACCACCAAGCCCCGTGTCCACTATGCCTCCATCAAACAGGGTCCGACGGAACCTATCATTGAGTTCGCGGAGAGGCTAAAGATAGAAATTGAAAAGCAGGTGAAAAACCAATAAGAAGAACTAATAATTGAAATGATAAAGTTAAACGCTAAGGATGCACGTAAACAGGTTATAACATCTCTACCTCTCTACCCTGAGCTGTCTCTTCAGCTTATAGTGGAGGCCTGTGTCAAGTGCACAGTTGTGCCAGCACCACCTATTCCCACCAGAGGAGGAGTGAAGATGGCGGCGATGACTGCAGCTGCAAAGACTTTCCCTGTGCGCTGCTTCCTCTGCAACCAGCTTGGTCACATCGCGCGCGTGTGCCCTCTTAAAAATAAAATCGATAATGGGCTGGGGCAGGGGGAGGCGGGAGCAAACACACAAGCAAAAAAAAACTAACTGGTGAACATGACCCTGCCTCGCGTGAAAACAAAAATGAGGCGGGCCGCAAGGGGGACCTTGGGGGGGGCGAAACTAATACCGGATGTGACATTCCCACTGGATCCGACATTTACCGAACACGACAAATAGCACCAGGGTGGACTCCTCGTCCTCCCCTGAGCTTGGCCCTGACAGATAACACTTCTTTTGAAACACAGGACTGGCGGTTGGTGTCAGTGAAGCCCACGTCACCGGGTTTGTTTGCCGGACTCGACTGCACATATGTCATGCTTGGGGATACAAAGTGTACCCCTCAGGAGATTGAAATCGTGCCGCAGGCACAGCTTTTGTGTCCGGACGGTTTCTCTCTCCTGGCACGGTGCATCCAGCCACCATACTTCCTGCCAAAGGAACAATTAATAGCGCAGACGATTCCGGTGCCCAACACCATTGTGGCGAAACCGGCTAATCCCTGCGTCTGTTGGGTGGAAGTCATTGGTGAGGATAAACCAATCATTGGATGCAGACTCCGTCGGGGTGAAGACTACTTCTACCTCGACGGACTCTTCGATACAGGAGCAGATGTGACAATTATACCAACCGAGAATTGGCCGTCACATTGGGAGTCGCAACCCGTGGCTGGCAGAATACAAGGAGTCAGGGGGGCCCAATTGGCTCGGCAGTCAAAAAGCGTAATTAAAATTGAGGGACCTGAAGGGCAGGTGGCTAATGTCCGCCCTTTTGTTATGGAGTATAAAGCTCCCCTGTGGGGCAGAGACGCCATGTCGCAATGGGGTGTTCGTATTGAGATCCCGAAAACCCTGCGGGATTTTTCTTAGCGGCCACTGTGGAGCGCCCTGTCCAGAAACTGAATTGGCTATCTGATGAACCAGTATGGATAGATCAGTGGCCGCTTAACAAACAAAAATTGCAGGCACTCAACGAACTCGTGGAGGAGCGGTTGGCCAAAGGTAACATCGAGCCAACCTGGAGCCCCTGGAATTCTCCGGTCTTTGTCATCAAAAAGCCGGGGAAGGACAAGTGGCAGCTCCTTCACGTCTGTTGTGAAATAAATAAAAAGATAGAAGACATGGGGTCTCTGCAACCAGGTATGCCCTCACTCTCAATGCTGCCGCAAAATTGGAATCTGGCAGTCCTAGATATCAAGGATTGTTTTTTCCAAATTCCCCTCGACCCCAAGGATGCACCATGGTTTGCCTTCTCGGTTCCTTCCATCAACCCGGAAGCCCCAATGAGGCGCTTCCATTGGCGAGTACTGCCTCAGGGCATGAAGAACAGCCCCAGTATCTGTCAATGGTACGTGGCCTCACTGCTGTCTCTTGTCAGTGCCAAGGCAGGGGAGGCCGTCATGAATGACGTGCTAATTTGTGCCCCCACGGATGACATACTGCAGCATGTCCTTGACCTTGTCATCGAGGTTTTGATCTCTGCAGGGTTTGAGCTCCAGAAGGAGAAAGTTCAGAGGATGCCCCCGTGGAAATATCTCAGGCTCCAAATTACCAACAGGACTATTGCCCCACAGAAATTGGCAATTAACACCAAACCAAAAACCCTTGCGGATTTCCACCAGCTGTGCAGGTCATTGAATTGGGTCAGACCCTGGCTAGGATTGACCACCGAGGACCTAGCTCCCCTTTTCAATTTATTGAAGGGGGGAGATGAGTTACTTTCTCCTAGGGTGCTGACCCCAGAGGCGAGGGCAGCTCTGGAAAAGGTAGAGAAGGCGATGGGGACGAGACCAGCCCATCGCTACCTGCCGAACCTGCAATTTGAGTTTTTTATCCTGGGACAGCTGCCACACCTCCACGGCCTCATTTAGCAGTGGGACCAGGACCAGAGGGACCCCCTCTTGATTATAGAGTGGATGTTCCTCAGTCATCAGAGGTCCAAACGTATCACCAGGCCAAAGGAGCTGATGGCGCAGCGGATCAGGAAGGCCAGGGCCCGTTTGCAAGAGCTGGCGGGTTGCGATTTTGCGTTCATCCGAGTACCACTTGCCTTATCATCGGGCAAGCTGACTAAGGAGGTTTTGGAGCATTTGCTCCGGGAGAATGAGACTCTTCTCTTTGCCCTTGATAAGACAAACATCTGTCCACCACCAAAGTCATAAATTATTTAATTCAAATTTTAATCTGGTCCCGAAAGAAAAATTGAGCCTGGTGCCGCTCAAAGCTCTAACTGGCTTTGCACAAGTCAGTCATGACTTGGAAGAACCCCCAGACTCAGCAGTGGGAGGCAGATGTTAAGGTTGTTGAGGGTTCCCCTCAAATTGCTGAGTTAGATGCAGTCGTCAGAGCGTTCGAGAGGTTCTCAGAGCCACTTAATTTGGTTACAGATTCGGCCTATGTGGCAGGTGTGGTGTCAAGGGCAAAGAACGCTGTTTTGAAAGAAGTCTCTAATCAGAACCTCCACAGTCTGCTCTCGAAGCTGATATATGCTGTCTCCCACCGAGAGCATCCGTACTTCGTGATGCACGTAAGATCGCACACAGACCTGCCAGGCTTTATTGCCAAGGGTAATCAGAGAGCGACACCCTGGCAGCACCAGCTGATATGGCCAGGATTCCTGATATTTACCAACAGGCAAAGCTGAGCCATCAGAAATTCAATCAGAATGCGCCTGGCTTGGTACAGCAATTCCAACTAAGCCGTGACCAGGCCAAGGACATTGTGGCCACATGTCCCCAATGCCAGAAGCTTGAGGTGCCAACCCTGAGCTCTGGCGTCAATCCTAGAGACCTGGAGAGCTGTGAATTATGGCAGATTGATATCACCCACGTTCCACACTTCGGCAGGTTGAAATATGTACATGTGAGTGTGGACACCTTTTCCGGGGCAGTCTTCGCTTCTGCCCACACAGGGGAGAAGACCAAGGACGTACAGAAACACCTTGTACAGGCCTTCTCTGTATTGGGGATCCCAAAGGAATTGAAATCAGACAATGGCCCAGCATATGCTTCCACAGCCTTCCGGGAGTTCCTGCAGAGGTGGGGAATCAAACGTAAGACTGGCATCCCGTATTCCCCTGCAGGTCAGGGCATGGTTGAGTGCGCCCACCAAACGCTCAAACGGGTCCTGGAGCAGAAACAGGGCGATAGTCAATTTGATACACCTCATACTAAATTGCATAAAGTCCTTTTTACCATCAACTTTCTTAACTGCTCCTTCGAAGTGTTGAGTCCTCCCATTGTGAGGCACTTCGCGAACTCTTCATCATTACAGTTGAGAAAACACCCTCCCGTGATGGTGAAGAACCCAGAGACGGGTAAAACGGAGGGCCGACATGAGTTAGTCACCTGGGGTCCTGGGTACGCTTGCATATCCACGCCCTTTGGTTTGAGGTGGGTCCCTCAAAGGTGGGTCCGGCCCTATACTGCCAGTCAGGGACATCTGTCAGGGCCAAGCTCTGGAGATGTCAAATATGCAGCGCTTCATCGTCGCTGGCGCCCCTCCCTGGAACACCAAGGGTACCCCAGTGGGCGGGACAGCCCCTTCTCCAAGTTGTTTCCTCTCCCTGAAGTTCAGGACCTATTTGAGTAACCCATTCCTTTTTCCTGTTCTGTTTTAGTCAGCCACCTGGAGCCCCAGGATGTGGTGTACGCCCTTGTCATCTGGGCGTGCCTCTGCCAGTCTTCAGTGGAGTAGATAGTCCCGCAGCCAAGGAAGAATGTGTGGGTCACCCTGGCCCAGGCCATGCAGCAGGACCATCTCTGCTTATCAACTGCGGCAACAGGGAATCCACTTTCAACCTGCCTGGTGGGGATCCCATTTCAGCGTGACGAATATCCCAAGACAATCATCAACATGCGGGATGATTTTAACCCCCAGAGGTGGCACCCCTCCTATGCCTCCTATCCTATGACCAACCCTCTCTGGGTGTGGCAGGAGTGGTCTAAAGACCTTCCCAAAGCACCCGAGGAACCTCAGGAATTAGAGTGACTTGGTTCAGCCCCATCCCCTTTTTGTGTTCAGAATCATTATAGATGGTCCAACCCCGAATCATACCTAAACGTTATCCAACCCAACCTTGACTATTGAGCTGCCGCGTGGTGCAACGCCACCGCCCAGATTGAGGGGACCCCTGTAGACCAACCTCGTCAGCTAGGTAAGGGGGTCTTCTTGATCTGTGGAGACCGGGCATGGCCAGGCATCCCCTCTCGCCTGATAGGAGGGCCGTGCACCCTTGGGCAACTGACCCTGTTTTTGCCTAACCGTACCCAAATTTCGAATTAGAAATCTAAAAACACAAAATCGGCAATCCAAAAGAGAGAGGCTCATAATTTGGACGAAAATTGCAATGCAGATGTTTTTCATTGGTCTAAGTCCATCTTTTTACCGTGGGTGGCAGTGGCTAAAGCCCTAGGTGAATTGGGCTGCCTAGAGT